AGTGAATGCTTTGTGGATCAGTGGCCAGGTTGGAAAGATTACCTGGGAGAGGGAGTAAGAAGGCAGCACAGAGAGCTGTAGTGGACAAGCAGATCTGGACAAAATTATAGCCCAAAGTACACCTGTACATCTTAGGAAAGTTCACACAGTGCCCAGCAGAGAAACAAGTCACTGATGTTAATCTCTGATCTCTAAAAGAACAGGGGAAAGGAAAATTCCGCTTACTCAAAAGGAACACAGAAACCCAGCAGAAGGTTAACCAAGTCAATATTCCATTATGTCCTAACACTGTGAGGTACAATTTTTACTGGAATAAAAGTGTATCTCAGTTCAGTGCCACTAGTATTCTTTCTGGACCACAGATTCTAGGCAGCTAGTTGATTTTTCATCCCTGCTGTCAACTTGAGAAGAAACTTTACCCTGGAGAGGGGAGATCACACAATGGATGATAAATTCATTAGAGAATGTTGGCCAGAAGCACAGGTTTTCGGAAACACCATAACTATGAAAGCATTATCATGTCAGGGTCTCCTTCCTGTAAAAAACTTTATTGTCTGTGCAGGTGGAAAAAAATACTTGAACAGGTCAAAAATACCCTGTAAAGAGAGAAACTATGATATGAATTTTATTGTTTATGGTAGGGGTGAATTATTATCAAGAGCCTTGTTCTGAGATCCTGAGAAAAAGTCACTGGTGATTCCAAATGTCAGCAGAATCTACTAGCAGAGCTTTGCTGTCTCTACAGTTCCAAGTCCTTGGCATGAGTTCAAAGTAAAAATGAATCTGAAAATTCCTGAAATCTGGGAAGCCCATATGTGAATCCAGTTATATATCCTGGCATTTGGGGAGAAACAGTTTTCTATTGCAAGACTTTGAAGCCTACATAAAAATTAAATTGCCTTCGTGCTCTATAACTAAAGTCATATGAAATACAGCATCTTTGTTTAAGTGAAGCCAAGAGTTCAAGCTTGCTTATTTGAGGTTTTTTCTCTTCATTAAAATTATCAAAACCTGGTTTTATTGCCAAACACATGGCTTTTGATGAAATGCAGCTTTCAGACACTTTTTAGGCTGGATTTTGCAATTAATCTCATTTGAATTTTAATTTTGGAAACCTATAAATATAGATGCTTTCACAGTTTATTTAGTATGAAGTGATTTCAAATCTTGTTAGTTTATTTTTTCCAGTGATTCAAAGTTAACCATATACTACATGAACAATCTATCTTTGTTATATTTTAAAGCTAAACTAAAATTAGTATCTTCTTCATTTTCAAAAAACATTAATTCTAATTAAAAAGAATTTTATCCTCAGACAAAACAAAATTCTTTACCAGTTTGGGAGTTAAAAGATGGGGTATCTGATGTATTCCTATTTTACTGAAACAAAAGAAAAATCCTATGGAAATTAGTGAGAATTTTTTATGACCTCAGTGATGAAGTCCTAAATTTAATATCTGAATACTCCTATAACTATTATGTAATGCGCAGGAGGTGCAACCATTATAGTTATGCTTCTGTAATGGCTCTTCTTCCTTTATCATTTATGCCATCCTTGCAGGTTGTAGCATTTTCTACCTAGTGTTTGCAGGGATGTGAATTATATGAGATGTAGGTGAGAAATCAGGCTGTAAGAATCCTTGCTTGCCAACAATGTGTCCTTTTTTTATACAACCCATTTTGTATAAAGTCTCACTAGAAGATGCCATCATCTGTTGGTGGAAGTGCTTTGTCCATTTAATAGAAGCCTCATGGAACACCTCCTGCCATAATGAAATAGAAACCCATTCTTTCTTGGTGCTCTGAGAACAAGCAGACCATGTCGAGAGTTCAGTGACTCCTCATATCATCTTCAGTGTATTTATTTTCTTGTCATGTAACAGGTTGAGAGAGGCTCTGTCACAGGCATTAAACAGCTTGCCTCATTTAACAATGCTCTTTCAAAGAACTATAAAGAAACACAACAAAGAACAAAAAGTAATGACACAATAAGCCAAGCTGACATTTGGAGTTCAGGATTTTACACAACTGAGCAAAAAGCATTTGCATTCAGAGAAGTGAGCAGACTGATTACAGCTCTACAAGATAATGGGTAAGTGCTCCATCTTTATGCAGAAGGATCTTTAACAGAGATTTGAAATGGATTTTAGATAAGAACTTTCCCAATAAGAGGGATATATGGTCACAAAATGTGCTTGATACATGAGGAATGTAACACATTATTATTTTACCACAGAAACATCAAAATCTCTTCCTTCCATGTGCAAGACCCAGATGTTATATGTACGAAGCAATATGTCAAATCCAGCTATAACTAATTTCAGAAACTATTACTAAATCTTCTATTGTACCAACCCATAACAAGGCATTCAGGAATATGCTGACCACTTGTTTACACTTAATTCCATTCCTGTTCTTGATACCTCTCCTATATCTTGATACAAAGACTTCCCACTGCCCAGGGGGAACTGTAGCTTATCTTTATTTCATGCAACACCAAGCCAATCTTTTGCTTTTAAACATACCTGTATACTTTGTACCTAATGCTACAATGCCATGTGAAACACTGAAACTTTCACAGGGGAAAAAACCCCTGCTGCATATGAGCTTTTGGCATGCCAAACTCTTCAGCTTGAATACCATGGGCCCCTCACAGGAGAGGGCAGGTGGAAACCTGTTGACCTCTAAATGGTCCTTTCTACAACTATGAATCTGATAATACAGCCAAATCACAAGGCTGTCTATGCTTTTCTTGTTATACCATTAGGATTTAAGGGTGTTTTAAAATGAATAGGGACCCCTTAAAAGGAGTTTGTTCCTGAATTAGGCTGTTACTAGTCCAGCATGTAGGAAGCTAAGTGATGCTCCTTGCTCTGCCACAAACATTTTCTGTGGCAGCTGATACCTTGCTCAGATTCCAGGATAGGGTGGTGTCTAGGCGACTGACTGCTGTAGGTCTATAGCTCCCCTTGGTTTAGTTACCTTTGTGCCTCCAGCTGAACTTCATGCCAGAGAGAATTTTTTTAATTCTCTGCTGGAGTTGGAATGGTCACCAATATCTGGCAACCCAGTGCAGCAAGTACCTCCCTACCTTGCAGGGATGTTGTAGATGTGAAGTTAGGGAAGAGAGAACCAAAAGCTGCTTTACTGACAGCTGTAGAGGCCTGTAAGGTGTACAAAGTAACGCAGGTGTATTGAGAGGTAGGTCTCTCAATACACAAGTCCTTCACCAAGATGTAGCATGAGGAAAACTAATACTTATGTTTTTGCAAAGTTGTGGCTAATTTGTTGGGTGTTCTCGGAATGCTTGAAAAGGCCAGTGGCAAAATCATTTACTCAAGGTAAGGGAAAATTTTTTCATCTGGAACAGATGTCTGGAGGAGTTATAAAAGCTCGAGTCATTACTAACCAGCAGCTTCATTGTCTGGAAATAATTTCCTTTCTAGCAGGACCCTTTAACACATGAGTCAACTAGTGCCACCATACTGTGACCACCTGTTCCAATGAAATATCACTGTGTATTATTTTCCTGTCTTACACCAGCTGGCACTTGCATTTCTTTTTGCTGCATTATGCTTTTTAACAGCAGGCAATGATAAGGCTGCTCAAATGTCACACAGGGCAAGAATATGACTTAAGAAACTAGAGATGAAAACATGGGGGTAAACAGGGGTAACAAAGTAGGGCCATTCTGCTTGATGATGCCAGCCACTTGTACTCAGGTGAAATTGAACCTTGCAGCAGTCTAATCTAGCATCAATTATCTCTGTTTTAATGTTCCTGTCCACCTGAGTACTTTAAAACAATCATCTCAGTCTTTAAAGCTCTATCAGTGTAGGGGTGTGATTTGGGACTTCAGTTTTTGATTGGGTTCTTATCTCTGAGACAGTGTGTGGTTATCAGCATAGGTAAAAAGTGCTGAAATCTCATCTCCTAAAGTTAGTAAAAGTGACAGGGAGAAGCTGCTAGTCATTTTGCACCTGAGGAGCGGACTTTTTAGTCTACACAGAAAAAAATATACCTGAATATCACTCTTTCACACACACTCACCTCTATACAAAACACAGTGCCATTTATGAAATGGTCTTTCTTTTTCAAATAAGTAGTTTTGGGAATGTACTATGACTAAATCTGAAAGTAAAAGGTATTTTTTTTCACTGACTTCAATACCTTGAAGAAAATGATAAATGAACAATGCTTTACTTAAGATGTTTGAGACCCCAGCCTTCACTGAAAATTCTAGGTAGGCCAATCTCCCCAGTTGGTCCATACTTCTTAAAGGCTGGGAATAGAATTTCTCCATGAAAAGACATCACTTTTAATTTACAAACAGTGGAGTTTATGGAAGCATATACATTAGCCATTTTGCTCCAATAGAGACACACTTTTCAGGTGAATCTCACCAGACCAGGAGTGGAGTGCATTAAATGAACTAAATCCTTTTGGATGAAACTAAGTAATAATTTTGGTGCTGCTGAAATAGTTTCAGGAATAAAGTACTTTCTGAGCTTAGCACAAAGTAAACAAATTGCTTTCTCATTCTTTGCCCCACCCCCATCCCCTATTTGTCAATCATCCAGAATATTTTGATTTCTCAGCTGGAACATTCTTTAAATGTTCTGCAGACATTGCAAATGTTACAATCAAAAGTTAACTTACTTAAAAGATTGCACTTCAATCTATTTTATTTTATGGGCTTATGAACTTGCTGAAAAAAAATTTATGTTCACCTGAAATTCACTATTTTATATGGAGAAAGTTGCATTTTGAACTTCACTAGAGTGCATAATATAACCTGAATGAGGGAAAAAATATTTTCTTCTTTAACCCTTAATACTTTAGGCAATATTATTTTATTGTTAATCAGGCCATAATTTACATGTTAAACTCAACACAAACTTTATATGACCTTCTTTCTACCCATATGGATTTGCATTACACAATTAAAAATTAATGTAATTCCACTAATAGTACCGTCAAGATTATTTGATACAAATTTTATTTCTTTTGAAGTAATGACTTACATTTTGATTATTACAGTTTTAAATATCTAATATGAGGGTAGTATGTTGCACACATGTTTTAGGTATGCTTATGTATCTGCACACACATATATGTGCAGATCTGTAGAAATTAGTGTGGTATGTGAAACCTTTGCTGGATTCACTGGCTTCCACTCCTGCTGTTCTGAGAAGATTCACACACTTGAAGTGAAGTATCTTTATACATGCGTAAGAAATTATAAATTCTGATATGAGAATCTGTGCCATGAAGGGACTTCCTCTAAGAAGTGATGCAGATAATTATGTAAGGCATGGGTGTCTTGTGAAAAGCAAAGGATATGAATCTTTTCAATTGTCAGCCCATATGAGGGGAGGGAATGACTTTGTTTGGTGTCTTTCAAGGGTTTCCTTTTTTACTGAAAAATGGAAACCAGTCTTATAGTACCACTCCAAGGAGGTTCTGAAATTTGAAATTACAATATGGGACAAACAAAAACTTAACTGTGCACTGAGAGAAGGTATTCCTAGACTTTAAGTGATGTAATTGTTCCTTTTATGGTTTCTGACTAAATGGGGTCTGTTGTATTCTAGAACGCCTTAAAAGATATATATGGCTGCCTAGGGCATTTCTTTAGAGAAGAAAATGCAACATTTCTTAGTCAAGAAGTTAAAGAAAGGAACAAAAGCAGGCTTTCCTCTTTTGGATTCAACCATTCATTGTGTTAATAATGTTCTCTACACATTAACACAGCATCATGAGTAGAATAATATTAAATCAGAGAAAAAAGAATTCTTAATCACCACCATACACTAAATGTTGTTTTCTCTCCCTGTTACAAGGAATCATTACTTCAAACCACTCTTCTTTTTGTTTTGCTTTGTCCGGCTTCCCTCATTGCAAACCATCCGCTAGCAGAACATGCTTCTATCCACATGTGTGGTTGTGCTCAGTGATAGTTTTAAAGCAATACAAAAGAAAGAAAACTTTAGATGCCAAAGATTATGTCCAGATTCTTTTATCTTTGCCACCAGTCTGTAGTCCCTCACGTGAAGCAGCAGCATGGGTGCAGCTCCCACCATGCAGGCTGGAGCCATGCGCCATTGGCCAAGGATAAGAGGAGGAGAGGGCTCAAAAGCCCCCCAGCTTGTGACTAGGATTGATTGTCCAGCTGGTGAGGGGTCTGGAGGTGTCCTGTGAGGAGCAGCTGAGGGACACGGGGATGTTTAGCCCCAAGAAAAGGAGGCTCAGGGGTGATCCCTCTCTACAACTCCTTGGCAGGAGGCTGTAGGCAGCTGGTGTTGGTCCCTTCTCCCAGGTAACAAGATGAGAGGACATAGTCTCAAGCTGCACCAGGGGAGGTTTAGGTTGGACATTAGGAGGAATTTCTTCACAATAAGCGTAGTTAGACACTGAAATGGACTGACCAGGGAGGTGGTGGAGTCACAGTCCCTGGAAGTGTTTAAAGTCTGGGTGTGGCATTTAGTGCCCTGGTCTAGCTGAGGCGAGGGTGTTCGTGTTAGACTCAGTGACCTCACAGATGTTTCCCAACCAGTTTATTCTATTTGATTCTGTGAATGCCGGCAAGCCTGCAGCGAGGGCAGAGCTCGGAGAACTGCCTCCTCATCTTGGCCAAACAAACACTGCTTCCATGTTTGACTTATGGCTGAGTCAATTCATCTCCCTTCGCAGCATCCCCAGCAGTTTACACTGGAAACTGGAAGAGGCCAGTGTGTTACCACAGGTGAATCACTTCACTGCCATGTCAGGCAGAGGTTTTGGCTGGAGGGTGTCTCGGCGAAAGCTGCGCGGAGCCCTGGTTCCTCTGGGAGGTGTGGGCTCCGCGCCTCCCTCAACATCAGCGCCAGCCCCGAGCCCCCCGCCAACATGGCGCCCCTGACCCCCGCGCTTCCTCTTCCGGCCGGGTTGCCATGGCGCTGCCCCCCGGCCCAGCCTCCCCCCGCCCGCCGGTGTGTGTTTACATCGGGCAGGAGGAGCCGGAGCCCTAGCGCCGGGGGA